TTTCAATTCACTGACACTTTTGTACTACTGTGAAATGAGCGCAGGATTGCAGATAATGTTCTGTGAAGAAATTAAGCTCACTGTTTTAAAATTTCTGCATTTGTCGCCTCTAAACTACAAGGGGGTTGATAATTATGACTGAATAGAAGGTTAAGACGTATCTGGTTTTATTTGCATCAACATATATATATATATACAGTGAGTCTGAAGTCTTTCTATTTCTATTTCTTCCATGTCTTCATCTTTTGTAACACCCATAGTAAAGAATTGGGTTGCAGTCAACACCCTCAGCTGCTAGCCATCGTTAACATAAACGCATTTTCATGAAGGAAACAAAGAGGGACGTGTTGAATCAATGCCTCTTGATTTTGTATCAGATCAGTGTCTTTGTGCCATTTGTGGACGTGTTGAGGTCTTTTTTTTCACAGGAAGTTTGCCTTTGGGCGTCAGGATAATGACTCCGTGCAGCTGTCCGATTGTCATAGATTCAGGGGTTGAAGCGTGCATAAAGGTTTTTTATTTTATCCAGTGTTAAAGTCTAGTCTGCAGGGTAAAAAATGAAATTGACCCAAGCCAAGCTGCTTTTGGTCAATTTGTTATAGTCTTACTGATTCCTTCACTCCCGTTGACATTTCAGGTAAAAAGCTCAATGTACATTTGATTTCCGGCTCTATATGAATTTGCCTTAAGAAGCAAAAACAAAACAATGTCCGGCTGGAATGGTGTTTTCATAAAAGCTGTGTAGTGTTCAGCTTGTTATGACAAAGTTGCTCATATTAAAAAACTACTCAAAGGCCTCTACGAGATAATATCCTGGAGATTTGTTTTCTGATAGATGAATTACCTGTGAGCTGATGTACATTCCAATAAAAGCAATAAGCCATTTTGGCACAAGACACTCAGAGCTTCTACCGTTACAGTTTTATAGAGTCTTGATTTATTTAGGAGTCTGCTTTCTTGGAGGAGTCTCTCAGCTACACCTTCCCCTTTACTCCCCCTTATCTCATTCCCAGGTGGGCCGCATGAGAGGACACGTGGAGCCCCCGCTTCACACAAATGACGTAGCGCTTTGTTTCTTTGGCTCTTTGAAAACAACAGTGCTACTTTACCTTCGACCCTTGACTGAGGAGTCTTTAAACGCTTAAGAATGTGAATGGTTACTTCACAAAGTACGATGACCTCTTTTTGTTCTAAAGGATCTATTTACTTAATACTTTTTCCAGTTGCACCAAATTCTCTACATGGGGAAAGTAACTTGATGAGTAGCACATGATGACTGACAGAATACATTTTTCTTTTCTCTTTTTTTTAAAGAGGGAAATTTTTATTTATATAGAAGATAATGGTTTTAGCTTGTTCCCAGTAATGAATTAGCAGACAACTCACAGTCTATGCAAAGCCAGTAATGGACTGTTTGGCAGCAAAGGTTTAGCCCCCGTCGCCCCATTGCTTGAATCTAAACCAATCACGCTCTGCTCCCTCCTGCTATAAGTGAGAGTTATAATGGCAGCCTCAGCGGGCAGTCTCTGCCCTGTCAGTCACCTATTGAGACCCTTTCTGCTCAACATAATGGCTACATGAATCTCTCTGAATAGTGACCGGCACCCATGTTGTTTTTAGGGTCGGACTTTGGGAGGATTTTCCTCCCAAACGTCACTGCAAGGCAAGGACAAGTAATGACCCTTCACTTAATCCTGATGTTTCCTCTTTTCTATATTTGTTTGAAACTGTTACTTTTAGTTGCATTCTTACAAAGTCACCCTTAAACCAGCAAAGAAGAATTTTTCCAGTTAAATACTTTTATAGTTCTCTCTTTTTCTTATGCATTTGGACACACTTGTGATACCGTTAATGGGTTGGACGTCGGCCTAATCTAACATCGTGTCCAGCTCCGTGATGGCGCTCTCATCACAGGGGTGCTGCCCAGCCGCTGATTATCTTCGTAAGTGCCTCGCTCTGTGCCAAAGACCCAGAAGGAGAGACCAGTCACTTTGCAGGCGTGAGTTATCGGGAACCGCTGGCCAAAGTCCAGTCGTTTAAACGCATGTAGCCAAATGGTTTCGCATTCGTGACCGGTGGACTTGCAACGACGTGGCCGTGTGTACCGTCCGATACGTACGCCGCATCCTTTTCTCTCTGTCGCGCTCTCTCTCAACAGACGCAGGTATTAATGAGAAGCCCCGAGGGAGCTTTGAAAGGTTAATGAAACTGTAGCCTTAAGCAATATGGCACCAGATTGACCCTTCGTGGACACGCGGGGCAGCAGACCTTCTCCCAGATGAGCAGATGGGTCCTGTGGCACCGAGCGTAGTGGGTTGTGGAATAAAACGGGATAAGTGCGACTGCGTTCTTTTACCCGCTCTTCAGGCCAATCCTCCACGGATCTGCCTGTCGGGTGTGGAACATCAATCTTGTCCTCTTCAGGTTGCTGGCCTCCGTAACGTCTTATGCTTCACACTTGACTCATCCTGTATTTTGGATTGCCCAGATACCTTCAGTTGTCTCAGTCAGCTACAGGGGCCTCTTCGTATTGACATAACTGAGTGAGACTGAGCACGCCAGCAACTTTACAAGTGCAATTTTACAATCTTTCTCTGCTAAGGGGATCCCAAGAGACGTTTTCAAATACAAGGGACACAATGTATACATTTGACTAGAGTAATGAAGATCTATTTAACTTTGTGTAAGGCTTGTAGTACTTTTCACTAAGCAGCTTTCGTTTGGTTTATACTAGTTACTTCACATCTGAGAAATGGTGTCTCTCATTTTATCTCTGAGTTGTTTTGATGAATAATAGTTGGACATGATTTTGAGTCTTCATCTCTCAATATGTTTGCCATTCATTCAGTTCTTTAACACGCCTACTTTACCAGTGACTATTTATAACCTGTGACTTTGCACGGCAAACACCAACTACCATTTTTGGCCTCTGAAGGTCAATGCAAGTGTAGCGATATTCATTCATGCATAACTGTACCTCAGAATTGACCAGCAAAGCCTCAGAACCGCTCCCCCCTTTTCATTAACATTTAAAAGCCCTCTGGAGTCGCACACGGATAAGCTCTGGGAACATGGCGACCTGGGGTGTGAGCACACGCTGGGCTGACATGCTTGTTGTTGCCGTCTCAGCAGACATGGGGGGCACCAGTCGATAAGGGGAGTCGGGGGGGTGGGGGGTGCTACCGGATTGTGGACCGTTGTTTTAGCCTCCACCCCCCACGGAAATGGCTGCTACAATACATGGCATAATGTCAACAAGCGGTCCAGTTAGCGTGCTGCTAATGGTGCCGCCGCGTAGGTGGGTTAGCCAACTGCTTTCTCTAGGCAGGTGGGGGGCAAGATGGGGTTGTAAATCTCGATTTGTCCTGCTTTCAGTTGTTGTAAGACCAGTTTGATCAGAAGTTTGAAATGCCCTTGTCTCCGCAGACAACATGGGAGCCACTAAATGAGCCGCCTCGGTCGTATGGATTTATTAGCTTCTATAAATATTTGAAGGAGTTCCCGTGGGAGTTGTAGCAGTGATGTAAGCTCTTTACCAGAGACGCCATGTGCTCTCCAGTGTTTACTTTTCTAAACGTCACCACCTAAGTGAGATGTCAGGGGCACTTAGACGTCCAGCACTGTGCAACAAGTAGCAGTGAGTTGCGCTCACATATTACAGGAACAGGCTGTGCTTTGTTAACTAGATGTCTCCACTCATAAGACATTGGTACAATCGTGTAACAATTTGCCCCCAATTCTCCGGTTGAATTTGGGTAATCAACTGACTCCTCGTCTAGCACCATTGGGTCGACTTAGAGACGTATCAACAAAATCAAAACCATGTGACGGTCCCATCGAGCCTCAACCATCAGTTTAGTGTTGCTAACAACTAGCTGGTGAAAGTGAAACGTTCAGCATCTGCTGACAAAAGAAATACTGAACGTTCATTTGACATTAAGACGACTCTCAGTGAATGTAGCTTGTTATTAGCTGGATTCACTCATATGCAACTGATTGCTAACGAGTTCACCATTCCAGCTGGAAGCTAACCAGCTTTGGTGTCTCCAGCTTACTTCTGCTGCCTCCGAGTAGTCGAAACATCCTTCATTCATTTAGATACTGCAAACAAATTTACAGGTTATTTAATCCCAGAAGTCTATGGTCATTTTTCACATTTATTTTAATCACATGCCTTGCGTTTGCTTAGTACAGAGGGAGTAGTTCATATTTCATGGAAGGAAGACAACCCCCTACTAAATAAAAGATCTACACAAAGCTTATCTGAACACTGCTGAGGCCGATAAAAGTCAGAGGGCAGATGTGTTCATTGCTCATCCTTTGAGACAAATTACAGGCTCGGCCTCGGAGTCGCTGTTCTTTTCATTTATTTCCCAACATAGCCACAGATAGCAGCCATATATAGCAAAGCAGCCATGTTATCTTCTCGCAAATTTCTAACCGATTATTGATGACAGCATAATTTAAATACTGGGATTAAAAAGAGTCCTCTATGTGTTTTTTTTATCTCGGAGAAAACTGTTGTGAGCTTCAGAGCAATTTGGACATTTACTTAGACTTTAAAGTTTGTAAAACCTTTAAGCTGCCACATGATGTGTGCGCTCATATCGGCTGGCTGGCGCTCTGTTTAGTGGAGTTCTTCTTTGGCAGCGTGGTGAAAGAGCAGTAGGATTTTATATACTTGTTTTTGTCGTGAAGGCTTTAGGCGAAGCCAACAGTGTGTTAAATATGTTGAAGTCTCTGGACAGAGGGATGCAGGGGGAGATTCCTGGGGGATGAACACAGTAACTGTAAAATTCAATCAATTTGTTTTTTGCATCATTTCGCCCGAATGAACCACATCAAAATGCATCAGTCCTTTCTCTTTTCTAGCTGTGGGTTACAGCGTCACAAGTTGGATTGGGATCTGTTCTCCTAGCTTGTGTTGCATCTTTGTTCTTTTTCTTTACGTTCTTGGATCGACCTTAAAGGAAAAACTTCTCTCTCTCTTCTCTCCACAGAATTAACATGACTTTTAATGAACGGCCACCGGTTGGAGCTGGGTGCCGATCTATCGAAAGAGCACTATGAGGAGATGACAACAAGCGGCCTCTAATCCAGAAAGGATTCCTCTCCTCTGTGTGAAGAGCCTGCTAACCGTGTGCAAGGACCGTTGGGAGTACAAGAATCAAGTCAAGGAGACGTTCGCCTCCCCGCCTCCCTCCTCTCAGCTTACAAGAAGATGGGAGTGAGAAAATAAAGCTCCGCAGAGTAAAGAGAGGCTTAATGAATTCCAAGGAATTTGAAAACAAACAGTGTGCATTTGTGTGTGTGTCTGTGTGAGCGGATCAGGCAACCATCATGTGCACGTTGGCTGCGTCTGTCCACTGTCTTCTGGCTGCTGCGCTGATATTGGCCATCTGCCTCCAATCATTGACCGCCACTGAGGATGATGTCACACCACGCATCAGTTTCTCTTACAGTAAGTCAAAATACTTACCATGCATATTTTTGGGGTATTACCAAAGAGAAATGAGACTCAGGAGTTTTGTTGTAACGATGACATGGTCAAATGTAAGGTAGCCAACTTGAAGAGGCCTGAACTACAACAGTCCGATGAATACGTGCAGTTATGTTTTTTTGATAATAGCAATCACTTGTGTGGCATCGCAAAGTGTTTAAAGCAAAACAAAAGAATGCAACAATTTTGGGACTGTGAAATACAGTCTGCCCTCGTCGTTCATTCCTTCAAAAACATTGACCATTTCCCCCGTTTGTTGCTGTTACTATTGTACAGCTGAATTAAACAGTTTATCTCAGAAATATGGACCTATTTTCTCTCCTGGCAAATCCAGGGATTGGATGGAACCTTTTTTTGCACCTGACCTCATCATTGTATGTATTCGCTGTATACTGCAGCACTCCTCTTATTATAATGAGACTGGGTTAAGCTTTTATAATGCAAAAAGTATAATGAGCCAATCTGTTTTTCACTATTGGCTCAGCCAAAAGCTTTTTGCTAATTGATTGATGCATTCTGGCAGCGTAGGACAAACGAGGGGTGAGAGAAATAAAGATGCTGCTTACAAAACTCAATGTTATCAGGGAATACTGCTAAACACCTATTTCTGTAACCTCTTGTGATGTAGCTGCTCTCTAAAAAGAGAATCCACAAGTTGATTCTTAATTGTTTTTCTCGCTCCTGCAGTGTATTTTTCATATTTTTTGTTTGGCAACAGTGCTCACACTGACAAATTCCAGCAGCAACCAAAGAACAGGCTTTATGTGGATGTAGTGGTGCGTCGGCTTCTGTAAAGACTCCCTGTCTCATATTCGCTACATCAATTTAATGCCAACTCGATCGTCGTTCGGTAATTCACATGCAGCATCTCAAAATTGGCACCGCTCCTACCCGGAAACAACTTGGGCCATTTCACTTTTTTCCTGAAATTGATTAATTTTGCCCACGGCTGGTTCCCAGCAAAGTGTGTGTCGCCGACACTGATTGTGTCTTATTCATTAAGAGTAAAGCTATGCAGAAAAAAAAACAACTTCTGCAGCATCACTGACATGCTAAACGTTTTGTATTTAAACCTCCATTCAACCTGCGCAATTGATGCAAAACATGTAAAGCAGGTCACCGTTCTAATCCTCCGTTCTGGTTTGTATAGTCTGCAAGACGGGGCAGACCGGGACTGTTTTCTCTCAAGAGGACCCTTGCCTTGACATGGCCTTTTTCCTGTTTCTTTTTGTCTTCCTCCCTCTCCTCTCGCTCCTTCCTTCTCCCTTAATGAGCAGGCTAATCTCTCATGTAAAGTGGGTGGAGGTTTTTGTGGTCGCTGCGGTGGGAGAGCCCTGTCTGTTTTTCATTACTTCTCTTGTGAGACGGCACAAAGGATCACGGGACTTGAAGCTTCAAGCATCAGTTATGCAAGCGGGTATGAGTGTTAGTTACCAGGAAGATCTGCTGCATGATGGCACTGTCTTTCTCCAGATGTGCGCCTACCAGATGAATCATTTTTCTTTTTATTTCTTTCACTTGGAACATGATGGAGAAATTGAAGTACTGCAGTTAATAAGGACAGTTCTCTTCTTCTTTTGTGATTTAGCAGTGTATTTATCTTATGGACTCAAGTGCATCCAGAGAATCTGTCTGTCACTACGGTACATACACGGTTAGTAGGAAATGTATAACAAACGAAGGGGGAAGATTTTCCATTTGAATGTGCCCATTCCTGTTCATGCTTGATTAATGCCCTGCGAATATTGTGCGCTTTCTCTCATGCATGCTGAAACCTCGGCAGTGCATGGACCGCCGTGTGGAACCAGGGGAGGGGCGGGCAAGACGGGGCTCGAGCCACATGCTCGTGACATGCTCCGCTGCCCGCTTAAAACCCCGGCCAGGACACGCCACCCGATCCTGAAAGAAAAGCGGTCTGAGGCTTCCAGCAGAGGTGGCACTGACAAGTGCCTGCGCACAACGCCGTAAGGCCGGGCAACAACGCAGCGCAATTACAGCACATCGGCTCGGTTTGCTTCAGACGCTTTAATGGCTTCGTCACTTGCACGCTCCGGGAAATGTACAGAAAAGTTCTGTCTTTGCAGATTTCAACCAGGAACATTTGATTTGAGGACAATGGCAAGCAGCGAGGAATAACGGCGCAGGTTTTAATTAAGATGGACAGAGAGGAATGCAAGGTTAAGAGAGTCATTAGGATTTGTTTGGGGGGGAGGGGGGGGGTCACTGGGTTGCAGTGTGGGTTTTTCCAGCACTAAAATGATGTTTCCCTCGTCACGATTAACATCTTGCAGAAGAGATTTGCTCGTTTTAACAGTAATGGTGACACAAAGAACCTCACCTTCTTTTTCTCTTTCTTTATATTTTGAATTTAGCTTATTTACTGCACGATGAAGCGTCAATAAGGTGAAGTAATAACATTTTATTATTTGATACATAAACAGGTTTTCTGTCACAGTGTTCACATTGCTTTAAACGATACATTTATTTGTTTCTATAAAACAAGTCACGCAATCTCGAAAAAGCCAAATGTAAATGCATTCAACAAATTAAAACATCAGGTCGTCAGGTCAAAAATCCCGGTTATTTGTAAAAACATAACATAATAAATGAATACACAGTGAATAATGTAATAAAAACAACAATGCACTACATTTGATTTGAGGCAGAACTCGTGTGGTTAAAAGCAGTTGTCTCATGTGTCTTTCATTAAGAGTCAGAACTTTCCTGATTCAGCTCCAGTACATAATGTGTTCCGCGTGCGTCTTATTCCTGCTAGTGGGTGTATGTAGATGGAGAGAGTGAGGTGTGTGTCCCAGAGGCCCGACTCTGTCACTTACACTGAGCTGAAGGACTCGGTTACAAGGTGCAACTGTACAGGAAAAACCCATCCGTCAGATTTCGGAGCGCAGGTGTAGCACTCGGATTCATTGCCCTTCGATGACTGACACCTGTTGACGGAAATATTGGTTATTCCTTCTTTTTCTTTTATTCCAGCTTTATCAACAGCATAACCGCTGTGAGCCATAATGTGGAGGCTGCTGATAGCAGCATGACTACATTAAGTAGATGTGTGTAAAAGAAGAACCATTAGCGAGGATCCTAAAACCAAAGCGCTTGACCGCTTTTCGTCCTAATACTTTACATTGTGGTGGATGAGTAGCAGACTCTGCACGCTTGCTCTTCTCATCAAGGACCTCTCCAGAGATACGCACACAAAGACACACACACACACACACACATGTAGGGTAGAGAGTTGTGTCTGCATGCTGTGGTCACACTTGAAGGCCTTTAACACATGTCGGTTCAAAGTGAGTGTACTCAGTAAACTGGTGCCCCCAAAATTGAGTAGCGTGTGCCAGCTAGAAAAGGGCAGAAGAGATTATCGACGTGCACTTTGATGGGATTCAGGCTGTAGCAGAAACCATCTGTAAGCATCTGCAAGCCAGCTGGATTTGGCCATTTATTTTCTTCCTCAAGTCCACTTGGCTGAGCCTTAGAAACGATGACATTCATCAAGGCAATCGTTTTTGGTGGGTCTGTGTTTTGTTTTTTCTTTCTGTGGGTAAGAACATTTGAGGAAAGGGAAGGTGGTTTAAGATGTGGAAAGTCAGATACCCCTAAAATTTTTAAGATTTATTTTCAACAAGACATAAGACCCCTGAAGCAGCCGTTTTATTAGAAAGAACATCCATCTGTTTCGAAAAAGAATGCAGAAAAATTACAGATGCATTTCTGATGGACGATCATGTCGCTGCTGCTGACACATGACAGCTTCACAACAAGAAAGTTATTTTGTGTAGAGACGTTGAGAGGCATCAACAGTAACTTACAACAGCCGGGATAGAGCAGTGTTGCAAACAGGAATACTGAAATTCACTCTGTCATCATTGATCTCTACTTTGCCTGAATGCAATTTAAGGTTTTCAATGTTCTAAAAAAAAGGGTCAACAGCTGAAGGGATGCTCAGGAAAACCAGAAGCAGGACCGACCGGAGCTGCGTGTCACAAAATAATCTGTATTCTAAAGGGACTTTTTGTATAAACTGAACGAGGAATAACGAGTGCAAATTAAAGGTCAGGCAACACACGAGTGCGTCTGAGCCGGAGCGTTTGCTAACGTTGGCGCTAACCTCCCACACTCACTATCAGCAGATTGCAGGTGTCTGGCAAACACGGCGGGGGAAGGGTTGCTTGTTGAGTCCTGGCATTCATTCATTCATCGTCAAAAAGCTTTACACGCGCTGCACTGCTGCTTGATGTAAATTTCAAAATCAACGTCCCAGCTCCACTACTTTAGCAAATTACAGAATGAAAATGTCCACTTTCTAATGTATTTTTGTACTTGGAAGGCTGAAGTTGTCTGATTGTATTTTCTGAAAAAAATCTGAGTTTGTGCCTCGGATTCCGGTGACATACTACCGTCTTCATAGAGCGGGTGGGGCGAGGACGGGGGGGGAGGAAGAGCGGTCGAAGAGGTGTCTCACACGTGACAAGAACAGGCTTGTCTCTTTTTGAATTGTATGTGTGAGTAAATCATACCAACTATCTCCTCGTCTCCCTCCCTCTGTGCTGCAGCCTGCGTTTCAATAACCCACTCAGGTACCACGTAGAGAGTCTCGCCTAGCTAATACGCAGGATTTTGTAGGCTTTTCACCCGTGATGGACCACTGTGCTCCATCGCTCCACTGCTTTGTGTTTGCTGGGTGCGCGCCAATCTAGAGTGCATCAGGATGATGCCAGAGAGCCAATAATTACAGAGCACAGCATCGCGTCTGTGTCGCCTCCTTGCTGTCTGCTTTTAAAGGTATGCGTAGCTTCATGCACTCGTTGCTCTTTTTTTCCTACAGAGGCGAAAGGAATCCGGGGTACACATGACTGTTCACATATAGCAAATATTCAGTAGTTTTTGTTGTCGTTTCTCTTATTCAGAGTCTGCTCATTTAACCATGTGGCAGCATTTTTCTTTTTTTTTTTTGCTGCATAATCCCCACACACAGCAAACACTGCACTTACACATTGTCAGCCTGTACTTATTATCTGCAAGTTGCAGCTGTCTCTCAGTATGATGTGAACACCCTTGCACACATAAAGAGCGTGTGCAGTGCACACAAAATTGCAGCAAAGCCACACCATCATTCCCAGTGATCACAAACTACACAACACATCTGTGAAACCTTGCTGCCCGACCTCAAAGAAGCTCTCCGACTGATTCAGTGCCGTCAGCTTTATTTACAGCCTCGTAGTGTGATTTTTTTTGTTTTCTTTTTCTGTACTAGCTTCTGTAGAGTTGTTACGAGCTGTGCATTAATTTGGTTTTTAAAATACATCACAATCCACTCACGTAACCACAGTGATTTCTTTGTCGACAGTTCAACAAAGCCACGGTAAAATGTTCACGTCACAGAGGAAAGGGAACGCGTGAAGTTCGCTCCGTGTCCTCCGACTGTGCAGACAGACAGAGTTCCTCTGGCCTCTTGGCTGGCGTACTGCAGCAGCTCCTCGCCAGTGATCACAGACGCTGAAATAACCGTCACTCTGCCCAAACGTTACGGGGTTCAGCGCCGCGATGACCTTGAAGCGACTCCTGTCGTCTTCTGTCGGGAGCTCCTGCGCCGCTTAGCGAGTCCATTGTTGAATCCTGTCAAAACAGAGAGCCTTGAAGCTGTGCGCTCTTGTGTAGCATCAGCTTGCAGAGGGCAGAGATGGGTAGCGGGGGGGTGGTGCATGTAAGATAGGCGTTCAGTGTGAGATTAATATCAGCTTTGCTTCACTCACTTCTCCTTTTTTTTTTTTTCTTGTTCTCCTGGCAAGCCCCCCTTGTGTCCCCGTTGCCCTCTAGTCTTGTGACTCACACCGCGTCAGCTAATCCGGGCGTATGTTTACAGTCTTTTAGGAGTTTCTTGCCAGTCGTACAAGCAGCCAATCAATCGGCCCACCTTTTAGGGTGCCATTACCCTCTTCAAAAAATAGTTTGAACCGCCTTTGAATCTTGTTTTCCCTGAAATATGATGCCTGCCAAAGGTGCTGGCATGTGTTTTGTCTCTCAGTGACACGGTGTCTGCAAGCTGGCACCGTCTGATGATATCTCAGTTACCTCAATGGGGACTCAGCTGTGATGTGAATAAACGGATTCCCACCACAGTTATCTTAATTTGATGTCACTATGCTATTTTGGAGGTCTCAACAATGAGAGAGTTATCCGGAATCCTAAAAAAAGCTTTGGTTTATGTCTGGAATTTATAGTTTTTTTATGATTCATAAAGATTTGTGCCTGAAGGGCACTCACTTTTATATCTACACACATTACAGAACCTTATTTTTCTCAAAGTATGAGAATAGAAATACTAAAAATAAAATGTAAATGGGACGCCTGGCTCTGTCCAAATGTAACACAATGTCAGTACCAACAAATCCAATGCTCCCAAATGAAGATATTGTATTTCAAATGTAAAAAAAAAACTATTTTATACTGTTTATGTGCTTGTCTGTTATTTTTGTCTCCCGGCAGGAAAAATTGGCTGTTTTATCGTCAGCAAAGCAGCTCACATCAACGCTAAAATCCGTACGGAATGCAGCATCCTGCACATACGGAAGAAGGCGTGATGCGACTTTCCCTTCATGTAGCTGTTCGTCTCGTGTGATGAGATTTAGTCTGATCCCCTCACAAATATTTCTGTGATCACTGCTGTGATTTCTCCCTGCACCATGATTTGTTTCCGTCCATCTTTACCACTTAAAAAAAAAAAAAAAAGTCATACATTTACAAATACAATCCTGAGATTGAATTTAGACCAGTGGATTGCAGAGGAGTTATTACGTGTCAGGGAGAAGAGTCATTCGCTTCTTAACTGTCCGTATTTCAAGCAGACCTTGATCTGCTCTCAAACCACGCTCCATTTTTTGACTTGTGCCGCCGCGCTCCGGTTGGAACCGTTGGCTAAATTTCTTTTGCAGCTTGTAGGCATTAATAACCGCGGAGAAACGAGGCAACTACACGCAGTTTGACTTCAAAGAACCTCTTGCTGCTAACTAACACCGCATGTTAACGCTGGCGATAGAGCAGATATATTGATGTGAAGTGATGAGCGTTGGCAGAGGTTCAGGCCCCCGGTTTGGTGACAGCCGACTGATTAAACGGGCGGTGTAATGAATGGACCCGGTGCCCGGCTGCGAGATGGCCTGCAGATGCCCGGCATTCTGCTGCAAGTGTGTCAGAACACACAACGGCTCTGCTGCCTCGGAAAGTATAAAAAAAAAACCCAAACAACCGCCGTAGATGTAAACCGCAGAGACAAAACCTTGACACAACTGACGTTTGTTACTGGCTTGACCTTCTGCTCTAATCATAAATCCTTCCCAGTGGTGCTTTGAAAATAACATTTTCTTCCCTTTTGTCTTCGTGCTTCTTTATAGGTCAACATCTCAATCTTATCTTCCCGGTTACCACAACTCCCACTCAGCGTCCCGACCCCCCCCCCCACCCCCCCAACAACACACACATACACTAAGTATCCCCGGTCCACTCAGAGCGAAAGGTTCTTGAATTTGCTCTCTTTTGCTCGTTATTCCATCCTCTGTCTAGCAGGATGTCACTGTGATTTATGTCAGACGGTTTTAATATGCAGAGCGCAGGTGGTTTTTGGTTCAAGTGAACGGCCGAAACTCAGTGGAGCAACGATGTGTTCCCCTGTCTGGAGGAGAGATGGGACCGAGTATACGACTCTATGCGGCATTTAGGACATTTTCTTTAATTCCCTTTCAATCAAAAGATAGTTTCTGCTTCTCCACATTGGACATTTATTTTTTTCCCTGTCTTAAATGACCAAAGAAAGTCTTTATTGTATTTATTTTCTATCCCATCGCTGAGGTTTAAAGCCAGGCCCCTCCCCTTCATTGACTCCAGATGTCACAACGTTTTAAACAAAAAGGGCGCTGTTGATCTGGAAAGGGCCTGCGATTAGATTTTGGACAAGATTACGGCCATGCAGCTGGTTTTCTCTCCCGTAAGAGGGAAGCAACCGCCTGCCAACGAGCCCTGAGTGAGCATGTTGGAAAGTTTAAGTCGTGGGTTGTAAACATTTATCGCTGTTTACTGTTTGCATTATGCAACTCTTGTCTTATTTTTCTTTCTGTCTTTTGGAAGCATCTTGCTGGTTATACGCCAGGGAAATACTGTAAAGGGTTAAGCTGCATCAAATCATGCCGATGACGACTCCTGATACGAAGCAAATGGAGGCCGTGACCCTGGCTGTTTTGGCTTGGGGAGCACATGTTGTTTTTTTGTTTTTTTTTATTCTAAATGTTTGGAATGGGAGGCCATAGATAAACAACATGGTCAAAAGCTGCAAAGGGTAAGAAGCATGTAAGCAATGGAAGCACAGATATTTCATTGCGTATGTCGCACGTCTTTGGAGGCCTGAAGAAGAATGTCAGCCGCGATGATGTACGTTATATCAAGTGACGACGTTCCACGCGGACTCACGTTCTACAGAATCAACGAAAAGAGAAAATCCGCCGCTGATGCCCAGTTGGTGATCCTCACTTGTTGGGTGCCAAGAGAAGTTTAAAGGGATCAACGTGTTCTTTGAATCTCTACGTCATTGCTGAAACTACTCGAGGCTGCAGGGAAAGGGAACGACGTGGGAAAGCGAAGTAACTCCGTTGACCCGCGGCCCGCCTTCTAAAGAGATCCACTTAAAGAGGCTTTGGCAGAATGAAGGAGTTTCAGGTTGGCGATGAGTTGAAGAAGCTTTTTTCTTCTTTTTTTTTTGCCAGTGAGAGAAAGAGAGAGGCGGCCAGCAGAGGAAAGTGTGGACGTGGCTCACTGGTATTCTGCTGCAGCTACAGTAGCTGCTGGCTGTGCGAGAGGGGTAAACAGAGAGGACGGGAGGGAGGGAGAGAAACGACAACACAACGAGCTCGGGGAGAGCTTCCCCCCTGTTTGTGTCGTAAATCGATCGCCGCCATGTGTTGTGCCGCGCGCCGTGTTTGTAACGCGACGTCTGCCCCCTCGTACCTCCCCGCCGGCTGGATCTGTGGCTCCATGTGTGGCCTCGACGCAGACTCACAAGCTCGCTTTGAGTGCTGGAGTAAAACACGGGTTCAGATGGTGTTACCTTTCCCATCGTGTGTTTGCGTTGGGCCAACGCATTGGAGTGGGGGGGTTATTTTGTGTTTACGTGGGCCTCAGTTTTTTGGGTTTAATGATGCGTGTCTATTAACTCAAAGCCAACCTCTGAACTGAATTTTTGGGATATAGAACTCGACTTTAGCCTCAGAATCTGGCTTCCTAGTTCTACATTAACATATTTATTTTCATCATTTGCATGTTTTCAGCTGGACATTCTCCCTGAGGTTTCATGTCAGTTTTTCCTGTGCCGATGTGAGGGTTTCTGGACAGGGGATGTCGCATGTGTGCAGACTGTAAAGCCCTCTGAGGCAAATTTGTAATTTGCGGTTTTGGGCTATAAAAAATGAATTGAATTGAATAATAATGATTCACATTTGATGCATGAAGCCAATTGCTTGAAAATTAAGACTTTATACTGATGGCAGTTGGTTCTCAAATCTCTGCATAAGACTTGACGCTATGTTGTACATTCTTCAGATGGTTTTAGTGCCGTCAACTAATAATTATAAAGTAGTATCACAAAACCAATCCAGTTGACAGGTATTTCGTATCAAATAAAATAAATAAAATGATGACATTTTGAAAAGGTCATACACATGCATTTTAAATCCCGGCACTTTTCTCCCCACAGAACACAAAATCAACTTATGGCGAGCGGTTTATTTTGGGGCCCATTTCTTTGCGCTCTTGTTCTTGTTCAGCATCAGGACCCGTTCTGTCCCCGTCCGTTCCTCTCCGCTCCGTCCTGCTCTCTGAACGATAAAAGTTTGTTTCCTCCTGCCGTCTTCCAGATGCAAAGGAGAGATCGGCCAAGAGGTTTTCCGTGGATGGCGTCTTCAATTACACCTCCTTGCTGCTCAGCCAGGAGGACGACATGCTGTACGTCGGAGCCAGGGAGGCGCTGTTTGCCCTCAGCCTCTCGGACATCAGCAGGGCCAAGCTCCAGAAGAACGTTAGTAGTGGTTTATTAGAGGGACTATTGTCTCACAATCCAAAATATTCACTATTGAATACATTTGCTGCGACGTCAGAGGTCACTTTGTTGATCTCCAGACCACAGCCCTGTGCTTTCTGTACGTTTTGATGGGAGAGAAACCGACCTCGGTAGAATCGGCACGGTTCCCTGAATCCGGCCCGACTTACTCTGAGTTTCTCTTTTTTCCTCCTCAGCTGACGTGGGGCACTCCTGCTGGAAAAAGAGAGGAGTGCAGCTTCAAAGGGAAGAACCTGCAGGTGAGGGGCACCTTTCCTCCTCCTTCAGCAAAAAGGCCTCCGGAAGATACTCGCGTGATGAGAATCTCGAGAGCGTGGGTTCTGCTTTCGCAGGGTGTTTGTTCTTCCCTTGCAGCCGTCTCTAAAATCGCTTCACCCGCGTCGTGAGAAGATGAAGCGAGCGCCGAGTGCCGCGTTGACAAACCTTTCCTGCAGTTACAAATACATTTGTCATGTGTTCAAACTCGCCAGGGAGTTGTTCTTTTCTGTGCGCTGCGTCTCGCTCTGTGTCTGTCTGTACCCTTGTTGTCATGCCAGCTGTTGTATCCCTGGGCGACAAACCTCTGTAATCTCTATACTGCAGTGTACAACTATTGCAGAAACCCCACCAAGCAACTGCTGTGTGATGCCGGGAGGTTTTCCCATCTGCGTTTGAGGACAATTTGTGTTTTTTCTTCTTTTTGCGACGGGTGATTTACTCCTGATTATGCGCTCCAGTATTCCAGGCACATGTTTTGAGGAGTCGGCCAGAAAAATACATTCAGTTCTCAGAATTTCTTGTGCACTTTATGGACCACGCGCTCTCTCTATTTGTTCCCCATCCAGACTGATTGCTTCAATTACATCAAAATCCTCCTCCGGCTGAACAGCACTCATCTCTACGTGTGCGGCACCTACGCCTTCAGTCCTATTTGCGCCTACATAGTAAGTAATTAACTCCTAATCTACCCATTGCTCACTTCCAAGAGTTGATTTTGTTTTTTACTCCCCTCGTTCTTGATTTCTATTTCTCCCCAGTCATTAGAGCCGCTTTGGACTTTGGATTTTCCTTTGTGTGAGTTCTTGAGGGAATCGAGCCCTTTTATCCACCGTGTCAGTATTGGATCTGCAGTTATCCGAGCGTAACCAAATGCTGCTGAGGCGCTTTAGCCAGACGAGTCAACGGGGGTGGGGGGTTTACGGCAAGAGGGAAGCAGGAGATCTGTTTATCTAGTGGTGGAGTACATCTGGTGTGATGGCAACCGGCAGCAGGATGACATTGATTTCAGTGATGGGGAGGAGGGGTGTCAAGCCTGGAGACGGCTCGGCTCTTAAAGCGGGGCATTAAACTCTCCGCTTCTACGTCAGAGTGAAAGAAAAACACGGGATTTCTCAGACTGTAGATCACTTGGCAGGACTTTAGGCCCTGACCTGAGATTCCAAGCCGCTCTGAGCGCGGTTGGTCGGGAGCAGAACTCGCCCAGAGCGGCCAGGCTCTCTCTGAGATGCATATTATTAACATTGATAAATGTTTTATTTTCATAGCTCTTCTCAAAACAGTCCGGGAGGGATTAACGGCAGAGTAATAGGACACTGAAGCCAAGAGAAGACACTAAACAATCAGAGGACGGACATTAGTTAAAACAAGCCCTGAGGACAATAACTCCTAAAGAAGATTCTCAAGAAGCACTCAGCACTGTCCTGTTTGGTTTGATAAAACCAGTTATTGCTGAAAATTCTTTTTCATGTGTATATCGATGGAATACAGAAGTTCCCGTTTGAATATTGAGACCCTAATTGCTCAATGGAAGAGATCCATTTTATTTGCCTTTTTCATGCAAGTGATGAAAAATGCATTGACCATAGCTGGTTCTAGAGTCCCTGTGTGCTTTTTGTGAACGCAGAGTCTCTGTTAGAAGCCCAACCCTGAGCTCAAGCAAGTGATGTCATTTTTTCTTCGACTTGCCAAAGAACGCACAATACAGCTGCTTTCACAGGCTGATTATTGACCCTTATACATGCTGTAGATTTCTGTGACATACACACTTGAGAAAACAATATATTATGTGCATTTACCAGCCTAAGGCCCCTGGAATTACAGAGTAAGTATGTATGTTTTGAGGCATGTTAATTAACAAGGTCTGGTACTAAATCTCAGTTCACCATCGGTAAAATCCTTATGAATCAAGTTGTTTCTTTCTGTAAACCACATAAACTTCCTGAATCCAGATGTTATATAAAAAAAGATATTGTAAACGGTAAATTTAAAGCCAATGAAAAGCCAATAGAACTTAAGTGGGTCCCTTAATGCTTTCAGCTTGTCTCACTCGGCCTCAAGCCAATTTGTTCCCAATAATCAGTTTTCTTAGATTTACTTTCTCTTCTTTTTATAAATGCTGAAAGGAAATCCTGGTAAAGGTAAAGTTGCCTTTGACAGACAGAGCTACTGTGTGTCCAGAGTGGCGGGACCCCATTAAAGTCAGTGTGTTGTGCATATTGTAATGAAGAAGTGGGGAGAACAGGCGCTGAGCTTTCTTTTTTTAATTTTTTTTTTAACGGTAAATTCAATTTGTTTGGACTGCGCCTGAGGGACATTTGCTTCTCGTGTCCTGTCTCCAGAACACGTCAACATTCACACTGGAGAGAGACGAAGTGGGCGAGGTCGTGATGGAAGACGGGCGCAGCCGCTGCCCCTTTAATCCGGAGTATAAATCCACTGCCATCATTGTTGGTATGCATTAACATTTTGCCCTTTTTGCATGCCACACTAAGTTCTGATGATGAGCTCACAATGTGCCGTCTGATGTTGTTTGTCTGCATCTGTCCTTCTTTAACAAGCAATTAGGGAAAAATTAATATATTAATTGAAGTAGTTTTTGGTCTAATCCCTCAACTCTTTGCTCTGTTTCTCGTAATTCCCTCTGAACTATACCTTTATCTGTACTGCGTTTCTTTGTACTTTAAAATATTTATTTATATAATAGAAAACCAGGTTCTTCATTTGACATATTTGAATTGTTTTCTTCCAGATGGTGAGTTGTACACTGGTACCGTCAGCAGCTTCCAGGGGAATGAGCCGGTCATTTACAAGAGTTTGGTTCAGGGAACTGCTCTGAAGACCGAAAACTCTTTAAAATGGCTGCAAGGTAAAGTCCTTTTTTCCCCCCCTTCTCATCTCCCATTATGTACTTAACAGAGCAGATATGCTCCACAAACGTATTAGCAGCAGGCCGAGAGCAAAGACGAGCCCTTCCGGTGCGATCAGTCGCTTCCGAGTGCACTCTTGACTTAAGTGAGGCAACATCATTTTCCCTTGAGGGGACAACAACGGTGTCTCTCTAACCCTCGTGTTTATTTGCGTTCCTCCACTTTGAGCAGATCCAGTCTTTGTCGGGTCGGCTTACATCGAGGAGAGTCAGCCAATAGGAAACCCCGTTGGAGACGACGACAAGATTTACTTCTTCTTCAGCGAGGCGGGAAAAGAATTTGACTTCTTTGACAACACCATTGTGTCGAGGATTGCTCGCGTGTGTAAGGTAAGTCACCCGCAATTAGGTCGAGGTCTTTATACGAGACGGCCCTGCAAAAGTCAGAGGCGCAGCATCGCCCTCCTTAATCCCGATACAATTGCCCTAAAACGAGGCGAGGCGCGCCCTTGTCAAAGCACGTCGGCTCACAATAAATACGTCATGCTTGTTTAGATGCAATGGAAATGTGTCACTGGCGCGGCTGAAGCTTTTTTTCTATTTCACTGTGCAAACATGTTTTCAACAGATTTGGTTTCCACTCGCATTGAATCATCTGCTCCCACTCACCGCGCCCCTCCCTTTTCTCTCTGCAATGTCATCTCCCCCCTCTCTCCCTTCATGTCCCTCACAGTGTCAGCTGCACTCGTCCAGCCCTCCAGCTCTTTGCCTTTCTCCACCAGCGCCTTGAGCTTTGCCGGCATTATTAGTATTCAAGGGTGCTTTGCAGCAATACGAAACACACACACCCGCACAGTTATGTGGTCTGTATGTGTTGCAGGAAAAGCAGGCAAACTGCAGAATTAACTCTTATTATTTAAACTGCTGACGTCATTCTCCTCCTCCTCCTGAGAGTTTAGTTTGCTCGATCGCCCTGAATAATCAGCGGCAGACTTTCTCCCTCTTCACCTGTATTCAGATCAATTAAACGGCCGCTAGACATACATGCACTTACCTCCCTCCCTGACTGATGGCTCTTGCGCACGGAGGCAGTAATGTGAGTAATCGCAGGGACAGCATGTAATCTTAAGTGACAGCTTAATGACTTGGTCCTGCTGGGCTCTGGCAATCGGTGCTGCAGCACCTCTCGCTGGCGGAGCACCTCTCGGGTTCTATATATGGAAATATCATTGACAGAAAGGCGTGCAGACTGTGGTAACTTGCTGCAGATGAACTGCGCAGCGGAGACAGTAGAATGGCTTTCTCGGCTCTATAAGGCGCCTTTATATCTCTGGAACGCAGCAGCCAACATTTTTTTTCAAATGCTTTTCTGTGGCAGCTCAGTAGTGATGAAGGAGGTTAATTTCCTAATTGAAATGCGAAATGAGAGCTTTCCCAAATCAATGTGTAGAGATGAAAACACAGGAAATTCACTTATGGAGGAGTCATCTTGTGCAGAGGGACAACACCCCTCATGTGTTGGCCCTCTTGTCGTCGGTCCTCAGATAGATGTTGACAGAAAGTATCATTTTTCCATGCAATCAATTTGCTTACATCTTGGAAAATTGGCACCAACAATTCAGTTTGTAATATGCTCATGGGTGTACAGAAACCTGCCACCTGATTACTTTGATTATCTGGAATGTTAATGCGTGATGGAGATCGTCTAAATGTGCAACTCACACTGAATCTAAAGATACATGTCCGTGCATTTATATGCGACTGAACTGTGACTCAGAGAAGGAGGCACAAATTGCAGCAATCAAGCTCTAAGGGTTTTAAAGCACCATAATTGCCACCATGAGCTGTGTGCCATCGTTGTGTACCGCCGCTGCCGTCGGTCTTGTTAGTGAGCGAGTCCAACTGGAATAACTAACCTCCTGTTGTTTTCCCCGGCGTGCACCTGTCCGCCTCTCACAGGCTATTTTCCTCGTATCCCTCGCTTGTCCAAAATTAGAACGCATCCCTGAGAAACCACCCCCTCTGCAGGCCCACGCCTCCCCCCCCACCCCAACCATTAGAAAATCCACCTTTTTTTTATCAGAATGGTGGCTCATTTCCAAACGCACACGCCTGTTAGGCCTCTCCCTGCTGGTGTTTTAGTATCCATAACGCAGCCTTGCAGACGGATAGCAAACATGTGGTACTTTTGTGTACGTGTGCCAGGTTAAGGCCTGTGTGAAATGTGCTTTCATTTGATATGTCAAATATTTCCTACGCGTTGGTTTCATCTCGCCAGACATTTTGTTACCTTTTTAGTTTCTCGTAAGATACGATAAATCAAAGGCAAACTGCCGTCTCACTGACGTCGCTGCCAAGTAACTCGGCTTCCGAAGTTGTTTCCCCCCCCCATGTTCCTATCTACCCGCCTCCCTTCTTCCACTCCCTCCTGTCTTTTGTTTATTCAGGTGTGCGCACTGAGGGACTCTGGAAAAGCGCGTGTGGAACCGTCCTCTTTGCTCCTCGCTTCGTCTTCTTCGGGTTTGACGAACGTGACGTGAATCTGAAATGTGAAGTTCAGGCGAGAGAGAGAGAGAGAGAGAGAGAGAGAGAGATGCAATACGGCACAAGAGCAGGAGCACATTTCTGGAGGGTTGTTATCGTTGGGGGGGGTGGGGAGGGAGGGGGTTGCTGGTCGACCCTATTGAGAGTACAAGCTGCTCGGCGGAGCACAGCAGCAGCGGCGGCGGCGGCGATGAACAGCTGAGAGAGCAGGAATGTGGTCGTCTCATTATGTGCACAGGCTACTGGCACAGCCTGGTAATTGGCTCCCAGGCCGTGCATCTGTCCCACGAGGTTTCACCTCCTCGTCGTCGAGCAACGGGAGCGCTTGTGTGTAACAGCACGCAGAGGAGTTGTTAACGGGGGGGGGGGGGTGAGGGGGGAGCTTACGGTTTTTGCATTTTGTCGTCTCCTCACGGGTGATTCACGCTGTTGTGTAGGAGGGTTTTTTTTACGGTTTCAGGGGCCTCGCTGATGGATAGTGTGTGTCTGGAGATTGGGCCGGACCACTTGTTTTGGTTGTGATCTCTCCAGCTCCTCCCGTGTTTTTCGGCTTGCTTGCGTGCTCTATTTGAAAAGGAGTTTGTGTTTGGTTTGTGTTCACAATCTCTTAGATAATTGCCGGCCGCAGGAAGGTGGTCTGATAACTGTTTATGTGAATATTTAGTGACGACCTTAAAAGGAGCAAACTCCTCTTCTTTGTCTCGGAGGAGAGGTGAACCACGTATGCTGGCTGCAAAGCTATAATTATAATAATTAATAATTATAATTGAACTAGCTATTCTTTTTACTTTCTCCTCCTTCAAAGGGCAGCATCTATTTTGTGCTAAAGCTTCTTTATCAAGCTTTTTTTGTTACCTGCATGTTGTTGCATTGTCAAAATGTCCTTCATAGTTTTTATTTAAACGCACCACATATATGCTGCACAAAGGAGAAGGATTTTAAATCTTTGATTTGCATCCAGACCGTAAAATGGTGCTTGATGATTGTTTGTCCAGTTAATTTCCGTAAATAATATTATAACTGTCACAGGAACAACTTTCAGCCTCCTTTACCACAACAGCATCCTAAAGCAAAGAGTCTGCAGGTCTTTTCTAACGGCTAATAAATTGCACCATGTGTTAAGACCCCCCATCCATAATATATTTTGCTTATTATTACGTATCTTTGTTAGAGCTTCACTGTGCATAATGAGTGAAACACGAGTGTGTGTGACACATGAAGCCATCCGTGCACACACTGAGAGAGGAAGTACGAGACAATTACCATGTTGGAAAACTATTTGCATTTTAATTGAGACTACTGTTTTTATATTGTGTTTCATTTGTTGGGCATTAATAAATAACCTAAACATGTCTGGAGGGGATCTTGCTGTGTTCCTGTCTCAATTCCTTCACCCAGTAAATGACATGTTCTTTTCAGGGATGTTAACCATGGTGTTAATAAATGATGGTTTAATGAGACATAACATCTTCTTTAACGTAGCATGAAACACTTTGTCTGCAGGGAGATAAAGGCGGCGAACGTGTGCTGCAGAAAAAATGGACGACCTTCCTTAAGGCCCAGCTCCTGTGCTCCCTCCCTGATGACGGCTTCCCCTTCAACATTATCCAGGACATGTTTGTCCTGAAGCCCACGGGAGACAGCTGGGAAAGCACCGTCTTCTACGGCGTCTTCACCTCGCAGTGGTAAGAGACGACGAATGGGATTCATGCCGCTGTTCCATGTTGCGACTGTGCCCGTTTTCAACACACAGACCAACACTGCTCTCACGCACCATCTTGAGACTCTTTCTATTTCATGTCTGCAGTCAAACTTGGCGAGTTGAATTCAGAGCAGCCGTAATGAGCTTGAAACGGTAACACAAGCTCATGCAACCCCAATGTCTATTTAACGCTTCCACAAAATACGGTTTTAATATGGCGATCATCTAAGCGCCCACTCAACAACTGTTCTGCGGTTAGAAGTTGCGGCTCCCGCTTCATGAATAAAGTGACGGCCGCGTGGATGTATTGGGTGAAATTATGGTAACGTGTCTGTGTGAACAGGTATAAAGGAGCATCAGGCAGCTCAGCGGTCTGCGCCTTCACCATGGCACAGGTGGAAAGAGCCTTCAGCGGGCGCTACCGAGAGGTCAACCGGGAGACGCAGCAGTGGTACACGTACAACCACCCGGTGCCAGAACCACGGCCCGGAGCGGTGAGTGCTGCAGGAAACCATACAGTTCAGCTTCTCTTTGCCTTCACTCTGTGCATCTGTTATTTGTCTCTGCTCAGTCCTCGTTGTAAATTGTTTTTACCATCGCAAATGTCTGTTTTGTTGTCACGCTGACGAACAATATGGATTACGTTTCCACTTGTAACCCGAAACTGATTTTCTTTCCCCCGTGGTGTTCAACAAGTGAGCTTGATTTAAAGCAGATGTTCTCCTTTAAGGTTCAAAAAGTACCGTCTTGAGGACGATCTTAACTCTTAACTCCCTGAAGCAAAACAAATGCTTAGAAAAGCTTAAAACGAGTAGTAATAACTTTAGAAAGAAGACAGGGCTCAAAGACACGTTCACCCCGGTCTGCCATTTTACATAACTATTGTTTCCCCCCAAACTGACTTCAAAGAAAAGAAAGAAAACATACAGGTCAATACAACATCCTGTGTCGCTGTGTGTTTGTACTTCCAGGTCTACTTGAATAAGCGGAGATTCATTTTTCATTTCTAATTCGCTCCCCACAGTGTGTGACCAATCACGCCAGGCAAATGGGAATCCAGTCGTCCTTGCACATGCCCGATAAAGTGCTCAACTTTGTCAAGGACCATTTCCTGATGGATAGCGTGATCCGCAGCACCCCCCTGCTGTTGAAACGCAACGTGCGCTACACTCAGATCACCGTGCACAAGATCCAGGGCATGGAGAGGGCCTACGACGTGCTCTTCATTGGAACAGGTGCAGCTCGTCGCACAGCAAGAGGATGTTATTTGTTCGTTTTCCATAAATCTTTCAAAAGGAAATGTTGTATTACAGATGTGCACACCTGCCATGCTTTTTTATTTTAAAATAATTGCTTTTATTCCAAACAATCCTGTGCCCTGCGTTCAGTAATACTCACTTTGACTCGTTCCCTGTGTATTCCAGATGACGGAAAGCTCCATAAGGCCATCAACGCCAACGATAAGATGCTCATCATAGAGGAGATGGTTCTGTTTCCGGAGCCTCAGCCTGTGCAACACATCGAACTTGATCCCCAGAGGGTAAATCACAACCCGTTCATTCCAATGCAAACCCATAAACGTGCGGTCTTGTGTCAGTTTAACGTGCAGGATTTTACCGGAGAAAATGTTGGTCACAGATACATTCTTTCCAATCAGGCCGCTCTGTTGAGTTACGGCAAAGTATGGAAAAGTGTTTCTGACCCTCGTCTTCCCCAGAGCTGGATTTCATTACCTGCCCCTCTTTATTACATAATGGCCTCTCCCCGGGTCAAAGCCAGCAAACTGGAATCTAAGATTATGGAATTCTAATAAAATCAAATGGCATAATCCACTTGATGTCTATATAATATACTGGTAAATGGCCTAAATATAGACTGCGCTTCTGGGAACACAGGGGTGTGCTGGGCATCAGTATCAACGTGACATTCATGGTGAACATGCTTTTCCAGATAAAAGTAATGGACACAATGATAATTTCTGTAAAAGAAGTCAAGAATCAAGTAACAGAAAGCCAATATTCTGTTTACCGCTTAAACCTTTTTGACGATTTTTCTCTTCTGCAGGGTCTGTTGTTTGTGTCGTCCAACTCTGGGCTGGTGGAGGTTCCTGTGGCCAACTGCTCCAACTACCTGAGCTGTGGAGAGTGCGTGTTGTCCAGAGACCCATACTGTGCCTGGACCGGACGTCTGTGTCGGGACGTCAGGATGGCTCCACCTGACAGGTGACAGATCTCTATAACCTGTTCATTTAGAATTTGGTCAGCTGACGTAGTTTACAAGCTGTATGTGTTCGTAAAGGCATCTTGAAGTTTTTTTATATACATACTTTTTGTGTTGGATGTATAGTAATAATGGGTATCCTGCATAATTAAAATAATTATTATACTGGGAAATCTCATACCCTTACAACCCCATTTGGATGTAAACATGCACCCAAAACAAGCTCGGATAGAGGAGGATGTCCTCTTAGTCATCGGGATGAAGCTACACTGGCGGGGATCACAAGGACAGACCCTCGGAGGCTCAAATGACAGCATCCATGGACGGTTCCACTTGTTACAGCTGCTCTGCCTCACCACGTTGCTTTGTTTTGTTCCAGTCACTGGCAGCAGGATGTTGAAGAGGCCGATACATCTGCGATTTGTAACAGGGTGTCTCCCAGCACCAGCTTTCCACCAGCAGCTTCTCGTGAGTGTGTTCCCTTTGTGAATGGGTCTGTAATTAAAGTGTTGTCCCCTAACCGACACCACAAAGGCCTGCGCATAGAGCGGTCAGAGTAGAATTGACGACAGCAGGTCTTTTACTCTTTTTTTTTTTTTTTTTCTTGCAAAAATATTTTTTCTGTAAGCTTCGATAGAGACAGATGAATGTTTTCACCTCAAAGCCTGCTGTTTCCCTCCGTTTTTTTGGCTGCTAGTCTTCTAGCTGTAGCTTAATATTCAACCGACAGATGTTCGAGTAAAAACAGACTTATTCCAAATGCAATTAGTAAAATATTACTGTAGCTCAATCTTTTAGTGCTGTGGAGCAACGTTGTTATTTTTCCGTTTCTACATCTAGGCGGCTCCCACTGTAAACTCATCATAATCCCGGCCAACACCTTCAGGGTCCTGCCATGTAAACTGCGGTCCAACTTGGCACAGAGGAGGTGGCGTTACAGTGACAACGCCCGCCAGTTCCTCTACGCCACACCAGAGGGAGACCTGGTAGTGCTGGCGCAGCCCGACAGGACGGAGACCTACGAGTGCTGGTCGGAGGAGGAGGGTTTCCGCCAGCTGTTGGCCAACTACTGTGTGAAGGCGGAGCCCCGCCAGGAGAGCACCACTATGATCGGTCTCTCGCGCACGCCGCAGGTTGAGCCGGCAGAGACCATCGTCCTGCCCGGCGAGTCTCGTTCCGAGCAGCACCACGCGAAGACGTACTGGAACGAGCTGATCGTGGTGTGCGCCCTGCTGGCGTTCTCCGTGGTGGTGTTCTCCCTGTTCGTCATCTACAGGAACCGAGATCACATGAAGTCGGTGCTGAAGCAGGGCGAGTGCCCCAACATGCAGCAGAAGAAGCCGCGGATCGCGGGGAAGCCCGCCGAGAGCTTGCCGCTCAACGGCAACACCATCCCCGTCTCCACCTCCGATCACAAGGGCTACCAGACGTTGAACGACAACTACATCTGCAGCACGCCGACCCACGAGTCCTCGCCGGACAACAGCAAGAGCTTCTCCGAGGCGTCCGACAGGCGGCCGCTTAACGTGAAGGAGAGCCACGTGGAATACTCGCCAACCTGCCCCCGGCCCAGAGTGAGGCTCGGCTCGGAGATCAAAGACTCAATTGTTTGAGAGCGACGCGTTCGCTGAAAAGATGCCACCCTGTGTCTCAGATGCAGGCCGCCGAGCAAAGGAGAGGAGACGCTGACATCCCCTTTACGTCGCAGCACGTTTCTTATTTTAGTCATCTTTTGTTTGTCTGTGATGAGAGGTCATTTACGTCGTTTACTTATTTCCACTCTGAAGCCATTGGTTGGTCTGCTCTTCCGGAGGAAGCAGCGTTACACTTGGGTTTGAACCAGGCTCAACAACCATGGTAGCTGCTCAGAGTAGTTATAAAGGTCTTTGTTTGAGTCGTCCTTTATGGCCACTAATGTGTGTGTGTGAGCGAGCGTAGGGCCGGGGAATGTAGAAAGAATAAGGGGAATATTAGAAAATGATATAAACAGAGGACTTCTTCCTATATTAACATTCAGCACAGTATCTCTTTAGGTATTCAAGAGCCAGTGTTAAAAATGACTAGTTGATGTCTATCACATGATAAAAACAACATACAAAGAATTTAGAATTTCCCCGCCCGGTTTGAGCCTGTGTGACCTTCCAAATGCTCCACAGAAGATGGATGCCACAAGGGCAAGAGTTTTTTTTAAGCACACCGGGACCAAGTTACAGCGCCATGATGACCTGGAGTTCAGGTTTAGGAGAGTATAATACATGCGTTCTATGCGCATACTTATTGTGATCCACACATCATGGAGGCGAGTCAGAAGCACATTTGTTCCTTTTTCGCTGAATAAATGTCACGACTGTTGGAGGATAACGCTGCTGAAAGAAAGGTCGAGGAACTATTATTAAAATGACTGAAAGAGAGTTGATCAAAATGCTCCAGGGCCTCAAAACGTGAACAATAACCTCCTGAATGTATATTGTTGTTCTACGGTTTCATTCACACATCACTGCACCACGGACAACTTTGAGAACTGGTTGCTCCTCATCTTCAGTATTGACCTGCAGGCACCAAGCAAACGCTCTGGACCCTCTTTTGGAAGCATATTCGGAAAAAGAGACCTTTAAATTTGTTCAGTTTTAAAATGGTCGTTACGAGCCGTCAGAGGAAGGGGAAGAAGGCGGGACGTCCACTCTTCTCCTTTCATCCGGACCGCACCAAATCATCACGTGCATTGTGCCAAAACAAAGGAACAACTTCTAAGTGTAATAGTGCCATGCGGTCATGATCACTCCCGTGCTTTGCGATAGCATTGATCACCGTCGACGAGCACATGGGGACGAGTCCAGAAGTGGGTTTCACAATAAAGAAAGGTGCAAAGTTTGAAATGTCTCTTTAGACTGTTTCACGCCCGTATTGGGCAAAGCTCATTTGACTTTTAAAGAAAGTGGCCTGGAGATGAGTACATGTGAAAACCTGTCTCCTGGTTGCCAGGTGAGAAAACACCAGTTTTCCTTCATCCACCCTTAATGTCTCATAAGTTCTTGGAATACGCTGAAACAAACAGGTACAACTAGTTTGAGACTACCGAGCTGGATGAGCGCTGACAACACAAACTATGTGGTTAATTCAAAGTGCCAACAACTCAAAGGAAGAAAGAAAAGTCACAGCAAGTGTACGGGAGAAATATGATCGTATCCAGAGTCGCCTACGAAGTGGTGCAGTTGCACAAAGCGCTGTGTCAGCTCAATATAACCCTCCAGGTTCCATTTCTTACATACGTTGAGTTCCCCACACTTACTCAGATGTCATTGGGACAGTGAAAGCACAAGTAATCAGGGTTGTGAATACTCGCAGGTTTGCACGTCAGTAAAATCAGCTGGAACTCTTAAGAAATGCAACTACTGAGAGGCGGAAGGTGTGGACATTTTTTTATTTTTTTATTTGTTATTCCAGGGACCAGTGCAGCCATTACGAACACACACCCTTGCACTCATTACTTCAACTGTTGAGACTTAACAAGCAGAAATTCCCAAAGATGTAGGAAGCAGATGGTGTCGTGTAAATCGGAGCGAGAAACCGCTACGCAGCCATGGGGACAACATGGCACCACGCGTCTTAGAATACATCACACTGTATTGATCAAGTTAGCCTACAGTAAACAGTATATTCCAATATCCTAGCGAGTACACATTTAGCTGTTTCCAACACTGAGCAGATGACTAAATGCTGTGTTACTACTACAAGTGGACAAAGTGCACAGCATACTGCGCAACAGCGGCCAGTGTTTGCTTTGCTTTTCTTTTTCGTGTGTGTGTGTGTGTGTGTGTGTCTGAATATATACAGTATCTGTGCTTAATATTGTGTGTTTTTTTTCAAGGGACCTTGTGCAAGATGTGTTGTAGAGATAGTCTTGAAACTAGAGAGTGGACACTGCTGATATTTTCTTTTCATAGTGCTTTACTGCCTTCTCCCGCTTACATTTCAAATCTTGCACAGAGTACTGCACATGCATCGCCGTGCTGTCAGTTCAGCGCCTGGGCTCGTTCTTTTTTTTTTTTGTTGTTCTTCAAGCATGCTGAAGCAGGTGGGAGAACCTTGTTTTTATTTTGTATTCCAAATTAAATTGAAGGGGGTGGTTTGATCTTGCAGGAAATATGCTTATTTGCTTTCCCGCTAAGAGTTAAATGAGAAAAGTCCTGCCACTTATAACTGAACGCTTCATTTTAATCTACCACCAGCTGCTGGCAGGAATCGCTTGAAAGCTTCTCGAGTTGCTCGTCTTTGTGCTAAGCTAAGCGGTTGTTTGCTGAGGCCTATTCACCATGCACACGCGGGTGGTGTCGATCATCCCATCTAACTCTTGGCAGTAACACAAATGCCGGCATTCCCCAAAAGGTCTAACTATTCCTTTTAGCGTTGTTTGCTGAGACTAACCAAATAAACAAGAGTAAAACATTCGCCAAAAGATGCGTAACAAGAATAAATGAGACTCTAAAAAGCATTGTTTGCCCCCACTTCTAAGACATGTTTAATATGACCCCTGCTTCAGATGCTTGGTGGAAAACGTCACAACCTACTTTCAATATGCCTTCAGGTGTCAGGGTGTTCTGCCTTTAGCCACATCGTACACTACCCCAACAGTGAGGCGGTGAATGGCGTGATTGTAGCCCTCCCGTGGGCACACGTATCTCCACAACACGGGTCAACGGTACATGTACACATTTACCCGAGCCACCGTTCGCTTTACCTGCGAAGAGCTGCTCAAAATGATGCACCGTTCTGCAGTTTTTGCTTGTGTCACATGTGATAGATGTGCACAGCGTGTATCTGAAGACGTCAAGATTTAGGAATAATCGTAGTAAATCAGAAGTTTCAATACCATTTGACCTTCATAGTAAAACAATACCAAGTTATTAAATACAATAAATGACATGATTTTCATTTAGAAGCAAATATTACCATTTTGATTGATGCATCATTTTGAGTGGCTCCTCAGTAATGCAACACACTACTGGACATGAATGTAGCCAACTATTACATATTTTATAGGACCTAAAATGGCTTTGGTAGGCAATCCACTGCAACATCTTTTTAGGATTTTCTTTAAACGGTCATACTGCAGAGAAATAGAAGTAATCATATTATTTAATCATTTGTGCTGCACAATGTAGTGTTTCAGATGCAAGCACAGCTCCAAATCCTCCATATCGACGCAGCCATGAGACAAAGCAACAGCATTGCCACAGCATCCTGAACATAATGAGCTTAGTTGACTGAATAACTATTAGACAAATGTGGTCTTGCCTGCATGATTTCCTTTTTTTAATTGTTGTGTACAAATAACATTGTTTACTGTATTTTTTGTATCATTGAGATTGTGACTGTTGTTTTTATTATATTGTACATAAAAAGCACTTTATTTTAATTTTTTAAGATAAATTAATAAAATACATGTTTTGACACACATGTCAGTCTATTTTTTGCGGTTATTTTGGGGGTTAGGTCGTGGAATGTTTTAGAGAAGGCATTGAGGATGAAACGGTGAAAATGGTTGACATTCATGTCTGTTGTTGAAAAGCAGAGACCAGAGTGAATAGCTGCAAGCAATACAGTAATTTCTTCCCTTTTTAGATTTTTAATCTCCCTGGTGGAGATAGTTTTAAAATCAATGAATCTAAACAAAACAAATGTTATTGTACAAAGATACTATTAAAAGCAAATAAGGCAATGAAATTGAAAGCTGGTGAATTATCTCCTCCAGTACGAACAAAGTACCGCTCATACTTTCATCCATTACTGACGGTCTGCCTTGTGGCGGATATCCACCACTTGTAACCACGGAGCCTTGGCCTTGTATGCAAACCGGGGAGATTACATCTTCATGTGCTTGCACCAGGCATTGTAATTACAACTTAATTCCCTGTATGGACTAAGGACAAAGAGCTCGCTTGTGGACATGCAAAACCAGAGTCAGTGTTCTGTTGAACCTCAATTCTACAGGAAACTCTGCTGAGAGACAGGACCGGCCGCTGTGAACACATCACACCTTGAAGTCTCAACACTCCTGCTGTGATCAGTTGCCAGCCGGAATAATGTAACAATCTTTCCTCACAGACAGCCTGTGTCCTCGAGAGCTCTGATGGTCCCGGATAGCATGACGGTAGGATAGCATGATGGTCTAGAATAGCAGAGCGGTCAAGGATAGCATGATAGTCTAGCATAGCATGGTGGTCTAGCATAGCATGATGGTGCAGGATAGCATGATGGTCCAGGATAGCATGATGGTCTAGCATCGTATGATGGTTTAGGGTAGCGTGATGGTCTAGAATAGCAGGGCGGTCAAGGATAGCATGATAGTCTAGCATAGCATGGTGGTCTAGCATAGCATGATGGTGCAGGATAGCATGATGGTCCAGGATAGCATCATGGTCTAGGGTAGCATGATGGTTTAGGATGGCATGATGGTCTAGGGTAGCATGATGGTTTAGGATGGCATGATGGTCTAGGGTAGCATTATGGTCTAGCATAGCATGATGGTCTAGGGTAGCATGATGGTCCAGGATAGCATGATGGTCTAGCATCGTATGATGGTTTAGGGTAGCGTGATGGTCTAGAATAGCAGGGCGGTCAAGGATAGCATGATAGTCTAGCATAGCATGGTGGTCTAGCATAGCATGGAGGTGCAGGATAGCATGATGGTCCAGGATAGCATCATGGTCTAGGGTAGCATGATGGTTTAGGATGGCATGATGGTCTAGGGTAGCATGATGGGTTTAGGATGGCATGATGGTCTAGGGTAGCATTATGGGTTAGCATAGCATGATGGTCTAGGGTAGCATTATGGTCCAGGATAGCATGATGGTCTAGGATAGCATCATGGTCTAGGATAGCATGATGGTCTAGGATAGCATGATGGTCCAGGATAGCATCATGGTCTAGGGTAGCATGATGTTTCAGGATAGCATCATGGTCTAGGATAGCATGATGGTTTAGGATGGCATGATGGTCTAGGGTAGCATGATGGTTTAGGATGGCATGATGGTCTAGGGTAGCATGATGGTCTAGGATAGCATGATGGTCTAGGGTAGCATGATGGTTTAGGATGGCATGATGGTCTAGGGTAGCATGATGGTCTAGGGTAGCATGATGGTCTAGGATAGCATGATGGTCTAGGATAGCATGATGGTCTAGGGTAGCATGATGGTTTAGGATGGCATCGAGGGGATAGCAGAGCTGACGCAGAGGACTCTCATACAGGATCATGACTCTGCATTGAAAGAATAATAATAATCATCTTTTCTCTCTTTGTCTATCTGTGGTTCTCTACTTCTGAATCAGATCTTGACACATTCTCTCTCTTTTGATTATCTGTGACAGATTTGATTTACTTCCAACCCCAGCCGCTCATCTGCTGTCACCAACCATTTGATGAAGAGCAAAGAGAGCAATTTGCCATTGGTTATTAACAAATCACTGTGCTGTGAAAAGCACCTTTTGTTTTCCTCAGCTTCGAAAACAATTACAGTCAGCTTGTATTTCTGTTCCATATTTCATGACGACGCTCCAATTATGGTGAAATTGAAAAGCAGATTTACTTTTCACAGTCAATGAAAGAAGCTGAAAATTTGTTTAAAGTCCAAATCAAACTTCTTAGATCCCGCACCATGACGTCTCTACTTTGGTTATTCACATGGTCGATCATTTTATTGGATGCATGCTGATTTTAATTCATCTAGCAATAATTTGTCCGTACAAAGATGTGATTGTAGCTGAGCACAAAGACTGTCAACTTTGGGAAACAGTCAGCCTGGCTTTCTCCAAAGCTAACAGAATCCAACCAACCAGAAACTCACTCCTTGAAATGTTGTACCGAACAAAGTATAACAACTAAAGTTGACATTTTCCAAGGGGTTATGTGCCCAAGTGTTTCCTGGCAGTAACTTATTCCCAGACATTCAGAGGAGGCCAAGAAAGAAGTCGGCACAGTGTAAAACTATTGTTTTTAATCCAAATTGTGGAAAAACCTACTTGATAATTTTTACTTAACTCTTGGATAATAAGGGTTTGGTTTGAATTACACTTTTCATGCAGACCAATACACATGTGCTTCATACTATAGATTATTTTATGTGCATGTACACATGTTTCTTGCTTGTGTGCATACATGGTGATATTTCTGCTTTGGCCTTCCAGGAGCTTGGCCAATTCTCTATTTCACAGAGATATATTGAGCAGTAAAATGGTCTTCTGGGTTGCTATCGTGAGAAACATTCATGTGTGCAAGGCGTCAGAGGTGCAAGACCATTAATGAGTGAACCAGAGAAGCTCCTTTGTCTACACACATAAGCAATTAAAACCATGTTTTGTGAAGGTGTTGGAGGTCAATACGATCATTTGTATTGAAAGCATGTCATGAGGTCTTTCATCTTCTGTTCATTCATTTAGTGGGTATAGAATTTAATCTAAACACTTTATTTTGAAACAGTTTCCGTGTTAAGGTATTGTGTGTGTCAGTGTGTGTAATGTGGAAAGTGGTTACAGCAGTGTCACAAATAGGTTGTTTACAGAAAACTAACATTATTAAAGTGCCGTGCTGCTTTTACTGTCAGCACAACAAAACAAGTGCCCGTCCGAGGTCAAATTTATATTATTTATAGATATGTCTGCCTTTATTGGATATCATATATGGATTTATTAGTTTACCGTTTATTCTGTGTATGTTAGCGTAGAATTGCATTTGGCAGTGACATGGACACCATGAAACACAGTGTACATGTAATAAAATACGAAACACGCAGTGTTATTTAACTGATGTTGTTCTGAGTGGCGACTATAGAAAGAAACCATTTCTCTTTGCTCTGCAGCGCCAGCCTGAAGTTCCCCCCCCGTTGTGTCCAAGGTGTGAAAGGTCGGCAGTGATGTGATCATTTATGAACGGAGGGAAGGTTAGCACTGGATTTTCTCTGAAGTCTTCACTCTGTGGTGTTCCTGTTTGCTGGCTGATAAGAAGCACACATTGATGGATGTGCAGAGAGCAGACTGGCTGTTTGCAGTCTGTTTAGTAAGTGACAAAAATGTCCTAAACACAGGTTCCTGGTGTTATTGTGTGTAGAAAAACTGAATCATAATCACAGCAGCCAGTTTGGGCTTGTTGTCTCCGAGAATCTTTGGTGAGCCCACCTGACAAAAGGTAGTTCCAGAGACTCAACCACAGTGTTGGACTGGCGGCTACTGACCTTGTAATTAGGGGGCAGCGTGTCTGGGCGAGACATCGTGTGCTGTGACTGAGCTCTGAGCCCGGCACACTTACATCAGAACAAGACATCTAAGCTGTCGTACAGATGTAAAGTTATTTTAAGTAGGAATGGGACTGGGTCGTATTCAGTATGTCCCATCAGACCTATAAACCGTACTTGTGTCTGTGACACCAAAAAAGGTTTATAGGTCTTGCTTGATTCACACTTGAAGGTTATTTTAGATTAAACGACTACACCCATCCTTGGTGTTGGTAGTGTATGGCTGTATTTTAACATGAGAAAAGCCAAACAGCTCCATATACAGTTTCCCATTTTCTCCCCAGTTTGCTCTTTGACAACAGCTCTTCTACAACGATGCATTTTGACGCAGTGCTCCCCTGTTTTGACAAATTTAGCAGAGACAAGGCTTCTTGTATCATTATAATTAGACGGTCTTTTCTTTGCATTCTAATTCTCTCATTACCACTGAGCTCCTCTCTTCATCTGTTCTGTTCAAAATCCACATTCAAGTCATGTTCGGCCTTATGCTTGAATTTAAGTCAGATTTCCCCAAAGCTGCAAGCAGAGTATCATGGATCAAAGTGGATAAAGTCAGAACTTTCTTGACTTTAAGCATTTGCTGATTCTGCATTTGTTCCCTTATCATTGTTCAACTCTTTAGCTACTTCCCCTGCATTCTGAAAAAGTTTATTTTATGATTTATTTATTCGTCCTGTAATCTGAGAACCGAGGACACAAACTTAACACATATAAAAAAAGAAAAGAGAAACAGCTTATTGGCTATGAATAGGCTGGGCTGTAGTGCACGCGATATGCATATGATAATTCATATGCATATCGTGTGCATTCTGCGCTTATATTGTCGACAATAGCAGAACATGTTTGTCCTCCATTCATTTCAATAGTGTTAACAGCATGTTATTAAAAGGTTTTTTTTCATTTATGAAGACCCTTTCAATCTTGAACTGACACATCGCTCAAACTGTATGTGCTCTTGTACCAAGTAATGCAAATGATCAAGGAATTACTCCATAACCAAATCAATCAAACGCAATGTATTGCTGTATTACCATTCTGAAACAGCCAACGTCCACCGATCAAAATGCAGTTTTAAAAACACCTTGATGTGCGTTTCCACCTGGTGGTCAGAATGCCGCAGCAGGATTATCCTTTCTGCTGGAACACTTTGTCTAATTACAGATATAATGTTGTATATTCCGGCTCTAGTGTTACACAACCCAGGCAGAGCAGAGACGGAACACAGATGTGTCCTTTCCTTAACCACAAGTTGCCTGTGGCGAGCAGGACCTCAAATAAGTGCTGTTCTTTATTACATAACTTTTGTTTTTGTATTTTCTCGTGGAGCAAAATGGGGAAAGCAAATGACACCATGTTGCACAATGGCAAACATACTTTTTAGAGTATAATATTAAATGAGAATATGTCGACTTGTTTTCCACCTGTCTAAAAAAAGGCAGCAAAATCATCATAATTCGAGCCAATAAAATGAGCAACAAAATGGCAATTGAGGAAATGAAGAAATTACAGGTAGACTATAAATATTTACCCTTTATTATTGTGGTCAAAAGGGTTTGTTCTCAGGACAATAAACTTTGATAAGCTGGTTAACTTTTTTAAGGTGTCATCGTGACTTAACAAATGGAGAAATCTATTCTGGCGTACGACATTAGTTATGATAACGCGTTTTTAAGTACGCACACATCGCAGCTAGGTGGCCATGAATAGGCAGTTATTACTGTACTTGGCAGCACAGACACGACAAAGTTTGTCCTGTTAAGTCTTCGTAGTCCTTGCGGTCTCAGAAGGGCTGTGAGAAAAAGATGTAGCAACCCGTATTAAATGATCATGCACATTTTCTTCATGTGATTCACTGCTTTAAATCTGCATTCGTGACAAAAGACCATAATTTTAAAAAAGGCCAACTGTGGTCTGTCTCGTCTCTCTGCCATTATGTGCAGATAATGATAATGCACAAAAAACCTGGCAGTAGTTGCAGTGTATTTTAATTTAAAATGTATTGAACTAAATAAAGGAATGAAGTCAAACTCTTCAAATTCACTAAGAAATAAGTGGTAATAGTTTATACAGTAATGATTCCCAGCCTGCTTTGCATTATTACATTTTTAACATACTGACAGACATGAATTGCCTGTCAGTGTGTGCCATGGATGAAATATGCTACAAGATATAGCTAACGTGAATAAAAAGTAAACATCATCCCGACAATGACCCACAACAGTTTTACAGATCATGTGAAAATAACAGCCTCAAACATTCAGAATAACTCGAGCGAGCATGAACTAAAAAGATACACTTTATTTGAAACCAGCAGGGGATATTTTTGTACAAAAATACACAAATGTTACGTAGGTCCTGCGTGTCTGCTGCTTACACCACTGATGCTTCTATGCATGCAGCACCAATGTGGGACAACCATTAACTTGATAGGACAAAAGTAAAAAACAAAGTATCCAACAAGCATGTTTTTTTTCCATGGGGAAGAACTTGGGACCCAAGATTCTTGAGGCTAGACAAAAATCATCATTCTGAGAAACATCAGGAAGAATGCTTAACATGGGATGTTATTGAAGCGCCGAGTTGAATTTGTTTCCGACAACCTTCTCTACTTGGACTTGGTCTCTTCCTTCCCGCCTCCATCCGACTTTTTCTGCTTCTGTTGCATTATCTCGGCATCCCTTTGGGAGAGAAGGGGGGGTTTAAAGAGAGAACATACTGTGGAAAGAAGGACTGCACTCCTGCAGAGGAAAACACAATATGCAATGTTTGTTTTGATGATGTAAAAATCATCACGTTTTTAGTGTGCATCACACTTCTGTATTCTCATGCACATCTGCCTACCTCTGCTTCCGTGCAGCAGCAGAGAGTCCTTCCTCCCCCTTCTTGGGTTTCCCCTGGTCGGGATTCTTTTTGGCATTCTTCAGACGTGCAAGCTCACGTTGATTTCCTCCTGTATGACAGACAATGCGACAAACATATTTTAAAAAAAATGAACGGAACAAATGGCACTTAAATGAGCAACCAATCGGGAAGGTGAGCTGCACACTTAAAAAAACACATTACCCAAAAACAAAACAAGTTTCCAAATTTAAAAAAGAAAAAAACATGTTTCAAGTGTCTACAAGACATGCTTGTCATTACACAAACATATGGTGGTATAAAGAAAAACTGGTGCAAAAAAAAAAAAAAAAAACAGCCGACGTGGCAGAACAGGCCGAGAGCAGCTTCGAGCAATAACAACAACAGAGATGATTTCCGTCCCATTACCGACTGACCAACCGCTCTAAAATACACAGACAGGCGACGATGGTACACAAAAGGACTAGGTTATACACATCTAACTGGTTTAGGTCCGTGGTACCTGGCTAACGTTAGCTCTTGATCTGAAAAGGGCCTGGCGCAGACTATCAGCTGGGCAGGAGTCGACTCACCGACACGTCCTTGTTGACAAACGTTCCCCCGCACACAATGTCAACGTAACGCGCAGCTGTGCGACACTTGTAACAACGCCGGCGCGTCGACTAATTTACTAACAAAACAGGCCCATCGGAGTGCGAGATTCATAACCCTGCGTGATGGTAATGGCACGAAACGCGTGAAATAAGAAGTCGAGTCCATTTCAGCAAATAGACGAAACCCGCGGTGGCTAATGAGAGGCCGAAACACGAGGAGCACTAGGTCTAAAGACATTACACAGCTGCCTTACAGTCGAAATATATGTCGATACCCACTCGTCATTTTAATAGACGCTCCTTCTTTCGTTCAAAAGTCCAAATAGTTCAGCTCAGCCAAAGGGCCGTGGGTTCCCGTCGTCGCTCCAGCGGCTGCTTCGTTGCGCCTCTGAGGCTGCCAAGTAACGCGAGACTTCCGGGCGAGAAGCAGAACGTCACTTGTCGTTCGCACTGTCCAAGACCGCACTGCGCCTGCGCAGTTTACTTATTTCGTAATAAGTAAACTGCGCAGGCGCAGTGCGCAGTGCTAAACTGCTCAAGCGACTTTGGTAAGAAATAAACCCTGGAACTACTTTACAGAGTACGAGTAGCACAATCAATACAACACCTTTTTAATGGAAAGGCATGAGAAATTGAGTTTCTCAAATCTGAGTTTTTACTGTACTTTTCCGAGTCCGAGGCTTTGATTGAACGGACTTCAATGTCCGTATAAAATTGGACTTTTTTCTCTCCTCCAGTCATCCTGGCTTTCGTGTACGTATGTGTATTAAGCAGGTAATTTTGCCACATTTACGAGTTAGATTTAATAAACTCAAATACAGTGAGACATTAACTTAATCAATCACAATGCACAGATATCATCTTAAAATCTTACTACAAAAGAGCCAGCAGGTGGCAGACTAAGCCAAAGTAAATTTAGAAACAAAGGCACTTGTGTTACCGTCTGCATTGGCGTTTTAAATCAAAGGCCATCCGAAGTGCGTAAGAACAAAAGTGTCAAATACTAAAAAAGTGGATTACAGCCACGATAAGTGAGCCTTCAAGTGTGTCTAAACCAGGCAAACTCACACTGGGAAAACAAGTGTGAGTTTGGCCAGTGGTGGCCAATTAACATAAGCGTGTATACAAATTTGATCAAATCCCCAACGTAAGATTCCGGTGCATTATTGCTTTACACTGCAGTTAAAGTGCAAAATGGAATGTTGTTAATTGTTTTATTTCTGTTCCACAATATGAACCACATTATGTTTTTCTTGCAGTTTTGGTAAAGTGATTTTGGCAACTATGACTGAGTCATGTCTGCCCAGAACTACTACGCAGACACAGACACTATGAATAGAAGACAATTTCCTGCTGCCTAACGCACTGCTTCATGCCACATTCAGACAACTGGCGTCATTTTTCAAGTCAGAAAATCTGGTTCATCTGGAGGGAAAGTTCTGATTGTTTGCAGCTCCATCTGCTTAAAGGACACGGCAAGGCTGCTGTTTTTCAGTTATAGGAATCAACAAAAACATTAAACTGAACATAATTGTATATTTTAATCAAGAGCTGGAAACATAACAACTATACAGCCTCCATATTCCATCTGGAATAGAAATCTTAAAGTGTGTTCATGGAACTTTGCTATGTATGAAGACAGGGCTAGGTTTCCCTGCTGAAAGACAAATACTGTATTTTAAGGCCATAATTACTGTTTGAATACAACGAGCCATCAAACTACTGCTGTGATTGTCTAGCCAACAGTCTATTTGGTTTCAGAAAAGTTATTCTTTGAATTTAATGATATGCTTAAGTTTCTTCTGGTCTGCAGCCCTCTGGATATTATTTATTTCATCACGCTCAGCTGAAAACTTTAACTGATAAAAGAAGATCCCAAAAGCTTTTTTCTTCATGTTTCTCATCAAAGAGTCTAAAACTAGGGATCCTTAAACATAACGAGCATAATTTATAGTTTCATTTATGTCTTTTAGACAAGTGGTCACACATCACCGACAGGAAATCCCTACAAACCCTCTGTTACTAAACAGAAATGTGTATTTCTTTGCGACTTTCACACATGTGCGGCTCATTTTGCAAAAATATTTAATAATATATTTTGCTAAAAATATACTGTAAAAATTAAGGATTTACGTAGACTATGAGTAATCACATGGTTAATAGGAGATTTTTACAAATAATAATTGTCATCAAGTTCTGTAAATTATTTGGCATATTTAAACTAATCAATACTGAAATGCTCCTACGTGTTTACAGACTCAATGATCCAGTGTACCAATACGACTCAAAACCGATGCTAGCAAATCTACAGGGCTGCACATTGCAGATCTTTGGATGAAATGCATGCATACATCAGGATGCTAACATGCTAACCATGTCAATGGTAGCAGGCTGTCCACATACCCTCATGCAGCAATTCCATGACAGCCAGCCAAACGTGTCAATTTTCACTTGAATCGTGCATGCTGTCTTTTCTAAATAACCCGTCATCAGAAAACTACTAAGAAACCACTAAAACGATTGTGAAATATTTAGGCAACAAAATGAGCTCAGGTTCAGGGCAACATTGCCATCCACATTGAAATAACCACTAAAGGACAGCAGTGACATTACGCAAGCACGTGACTAACAAATCAACATGGATGTCTCGTTCCATACGGGGAGCAGACAGCTCAGATTGCTGGTATTGCTAAAACCGCTTTCAATAGGTCAACAAATTAATTCAAATTTTACAATTACTTACTGTGAAATATGACTTGACACACATGACTATATTTCAAGTTTCAGTCACTCATATGGTGTCACCTGTTCCTGGCTGCCTTATTGTATTTTGGAAAAAAAAGAGTGAGGAACTTAGAATTGAAATAAAAGAACAGCGCGTTGAACACTATGGTCGGTTTATTGGGCTGCTGGAGACACGGCACAGCCCAGGATGTCTGCCTCCGACTTGTTTTCCCCCACAGCTGCTTTCAGAGACAGCATCCTGCTTAAAGCTAACTATTTTTGTCTCCATACGCAATTATCACCACCTGGTAATTTTGACAATTTTGACTGCTTCTGCTTTTACAAAGCCTCCAAATGTTAATGCAGTCCATGTGTGCCTGCAGCTGGTTGTGTCTGCAATTTAATCAAATGGACATGATAGGGAGAGAAAAACAATGTTTTCCATTCATTTCATGCTAAATTTCTTAGGGAGATTTCTTATTAACAGTGAGTGAGTCCTCGCCCTCTTAATACCGGCAGCACTTTTCCATACTGACTACTTAGTGACATTCACACATCATGAAACTAATTTGTTCAGCTCGGGCCCACAAACATGTGCGTGCATGTTTGACTATTAAGTATGTGCTCCGGGACAATTATGTCAAGATTGAAAAGCGAGGGGATTTGTTCTTACTCCAGTTATTCTGTTCGGCCGACCGATTTTTATTTCCAGTCCAAAGAGCAGACAGATGATCCACGAGAAAGTGGAGTTGTTGAGCACTTATGATGCGAGGACAAGACATCCGTCATTAATTTCTCCTCCAGCGTTTGCTTGCACTGTCGTCGTGAACAGGTCGAAACCGTCTGACGCTGATCATGAAGTGGTTGAGGCACTGATGTGTGGCAGTAAAGTGTGACAAGCTGGACGTATGGTGCATTCCTCTCTGTCTCGTTTCAACGCCGTCATCCATCACGCTGCCAGAGTCCTGCCTGCTGTCACGAATGATCGATGGGACTTGCTGATCCCGTCTTCTGCATCGCCTTAATGTCCCTGGTGTCCTGATTGTTGGAGCTAATTTTGACATTCGCCTGAGAAATTATTATGTTGAATGTTTGCCGTTTTGCCAAATACTGTTTTTTTGTCTCTACTGAAAAACTCAGTTTTATGTCTTTTGGAACTGTACATTTATAGCTTGATAGTCTTTACGTAAATCTTTGTAATGCATTAAACCGAAGTAAATTGTTACTTTCCAAAATGTTGAAGCTTTCACACCTCAACATTCAGATATTTTTAAACTATTTACATGGAAAAATGAAAGTGTTCAGAACTACTAACTTTCCTGAAAACGTTCCTACCAGATGCAATGTAGGTGTTTTTACCTTTCATAAACCTTGTTTTGTATTCTGTATTGCAAGATATTGTTGCTGAAATTTAGTTTAATGGTTAAATTCATTGTGCAGATCCTGTCAGCAATGACACTGTAGTTCACAACAATGCTTTGAGCCCAACACTAACATCGATAAACATTGGCAACATTTTCTAATTTTAGTGCAGGCTGATGGAAATGTCTCCAGTTTTGCAGGAACTTTTTCTTGAGGAGAGGTTTGCATGTGTGTTGGCTTCTCTGTTGATATAAGGAGCTTTCTTGACAAAACCCAAGACACAGTCCTTTCTTTTTCTTTGCTCTACTTCTGAGACATAACGGAAATATCTTTTTTAATAGCATTAAAATGTGAACAATAAAAGGTTGTTGAGTCACAAACAGAAAGCAGCTTTAATCACTTCTTTCTTGCACTGATTAAATAGGGAGCCGTAGGAGGGAGGATCTGCTGTTTTGGAGCCAGACAGAATGACCTTCTCTCCTTCGTCTGCAATATTTTCACTCCCTTCTGCCTTATTTACCAGAAGCCACTTCAGTAGACTCATTGTTTCCCCTGTTCACTCAAGGTCTAGCGAGGTCCTCGCCTGAAGGGAACTTGTCAATTTGATCAAAATGTATTTGGTGACAAAAGAAGAAACATTAACATCAAGGTCATGTCTTATGCAGTGCAGATGTTGCACTGGTTGACCCTGTGCTGTGGAATAAAGCACAAGTTGCAGGTTTGGAAATCATACTAAATTGAATTGCTAACTATAGATGTGACTGGCTTCCAAAGACAATTTCAGCCAGGTGCATGAGAACGAAGGAAATACGTAACATATGTATGTTACATATGATTTTACTCCTCTCCGTGGATTAGAACCATCACATACTCAATGAAAATAAGAGCTGTGACGCCGAGTGAACACTGTGAGATTAACAGAAAAGGAGCAACAAATTCAATTTGATCCGCTGAATCACCAATCGGTGACTGTAAACGTCCGATTTTACGCCTCTGCGTTACTGTGTGCAGTAAATTGCGACAGCGTGTCCTTTTGATACAGCATAATTGAATGTTCTTTCAGATGGCGCGGAACAATAGCAGTCATCCAAGGGAGAGGATGATGTCTTTATTCCTCTAAATTGATACCAGACGTACATTCTGTCATCATCCTCGTGTGTCGTGTGTTTGCATCCTAGTCTAAGGAACAGTACCAAACGATGGAGAGGGCCCAATCCAAACGCAACACAGTGTCGTTAAAAACTCCTCGAAAAAGCCTACAGACGAGTCCACAATGTGGTTTTATGGATTTTCATTGCCTACATTGTAAAGATGGACTCAAGCCAAAACTGGTCTCATTACGATA